TAAATAAATAAATAAATAAATAAATAAAAATAAAAATAAAAAAATTAAGGTAAAATTCACACAAGATAATATTAACCATTTTAAAGCCCACACTTCAGTAGTACCTAACATATTCACAATGGTGTGCAGCCATCTGCTCTACTTACTTCCAAAACATTTCCATCTCCCCAAAAAGAAGCCCCATACTCATTAAACAGTACTCCCCATTTCCTTCTAACCCCAGCTCCTGGCAACTATTAATATGTTTTCTGTCTCAATGGATTTTCCTATTCTAGATATTTAATATAAAGGAAATCATATAAGATGTGACCTTTCGTATCTGGCTACTTTCACTTAGCATAATGTTTTTGAGGTTCAGACACATGCCCTTTGCCACCCCTGTCTCTCTATTCTTTGCAGTTTGTTTTGCCCCGTTACCTTAGGAAAACATCTCCAAACCATCCCCTGTCTCTTTAATTGTGTCTACTAAGGGCAGGAATGGCCTGTGGATATCAGTCCCTTGGGGGTTCTTATCCTGGGGTCGGAAATGTTTCAATATCATTTTTCCCTTTCTGATCTTATGAATTCTACTGTACGTGCTCAAAAACATCATTCTGAGAAGGAATCCACAGGCTTTACCAGACTGCCAAAATGCTCACGGCCCAAAAATGCTCATGAACCCAAGCAAAGCCAGAAAAATCCCCACTGAGCTGCTCCCCAGCGCCTCGTCTTCAGGCACTCAGTTCGTGATGGTTCTTTGAACAATTTCCTTTTTCTACAAGTGTTCAAGATAAACGAAATAACCGCTTTATTTTTTGTTTACTTATTAGTACTGTACCATCTTAAAACCACTATTCCTCAAATCACCAGTTGAGTAGGATTTTACGAGCTGATGGAGGAAACCAATCGTCACTGTACAAAATGTGTTTTGCATTCTGAGGATATAGCTACAAATGGATTTTGGAATGCAGCCCTTATTGTGTGTTGTGAACCTTCTGTGCTGACTCTTACAGTAGCTGATTTTTATGAACCTAATCTCTTCAACTGGACTATGAACTTGCTGAAGGCATCCTGGTCTCGAATGTCTTTTGTACCTCCTTTATAGAGGAGAGGTAGGATGTGCTGAATACTCAGGGAATATCCATGGATTGATGACTATGAGTTATGTGGAAGTGCCAAGGGAATATTAGGAATTATCCTGACTATAGGGTCCAGGTGTGACTTTGAATTCCCTTTAATCAGAACCAGCATTTCCCTACCTCATTACGCTGTGGGGACAGGTGTGGTTGGAGGAGGTGGGAGTAAAGTCCACCTCATTACACGGGGAGGACAAGCTGCACAGCCCATAGAGAAAGCACCTCCTTAGCTGCTCATAGGAGCCTGCACCATAGAGTGGGTGAAGCTGTTTCCACAAGGGCATCTGTGAGCCATGGGCACAAAGTGTGCAGCTCTGGGGCTGGTGCAACACTGATTCTGGGAAGGGGAACTTCCCCTGACTGCTCTTGTGAAGTTTGGCTCTGGCGTCGGGGAAATCAGAAAGAAACAGAGGGTTGCTTTGCTGTCTCCCGGGTTTCACAGCTTTGAGGGGAGCTAGGAGACAGCCTGCAGGGCAGAGGATGAGAGTTCCCATGGAAGACCTCGTTAAGGGGTGAGATGCCATCCTCAGATGGCTTACAGGGCAGTGGACGGCAGTGCAGGGCCATGGGGAAGGACACAGTGTGCATGTCCCACACCTGGTGCCAGGGCATGGTGGAAGTGAGTGCCTAAGAGGGGACTAGAAGGGTTATGATTGTCCCGCAGGCCGGTGCGGTCCAGAGACACTCAGGCCGAACATACCGTCAGCTGGCTCAGGTAGGGTCTCCAGGTCCCCTCCACGAGGCTCTGCCGGTATTTCTTTGTAAAGAAGCCGAGGTATGAAATGAAAGCTGCAGTCAGTAAAATGTCGCCACATAACGTCCCTTCCTGCTGTTTGAAGTTCTGCACGGCTTCTGCCCACCTCACATTTTCAGCAGCGAGTCCTCCAACCTACCATTTCAGAGGCCAGAGAGAAAAGAAGGCCCGTCATACCCCAGGGGGAAAGCCGTGGCATCGGTCACATGTCACAGCAGGAAGGCTCAGCAGCATTTATGGGCCCTTTTGATCAGTGGGGTCTTGTACTCTCTGCAGCAAACAAGCCCCTGTTCTATGCTGTGTGTTACGTGGGCCAAGGAAAGATGGCAGGGTTTGAATGCAGCCTTCCAGGCTCTGCCCTTTCCACCTGTGGACATTGACACCACCCACCTCACAGTGTTGTCCAGAGGATTAAATACGGTCGTGCATGTTAGCCACTTAATACAATGCCTGGTCCGTAAAACACGTTAGAAAATGAGGCACCCTCCCTTCTCCTCTCCAAATGCTGGGGAAATTAAAATAAATGAAATCAAGTCTATGCGCTATAAATAATTCACAGTGGGCGGGGAGATAGACATGGTAATTAAGAGAGTGTTGGAAGTTCTGTGGTGCACACGGGCACGTGCAAAGAAAAACAGGCTGCAGAACAACACGTCCCGACTTGCCCGGCACACTTTGATGTGACTCCCTCTCCTGGGAGGACAACCATCCTTGCTAGAGAGGACTGGCAGGTGTATAGTGGAGCTTAGCTTCGGTGTTAGGACTAACCCTTTATTTTTTTAAAACAGGCTGCAGAACAACACGTCCCGACTTGCCCGGCACACTTTGATGTGACTCCCTCTCCTGGGAGGACAACCATCCTTGCTACAGAGGACTGGCAGGTGTATAGTGGAGCTTAGCTTCGGTGTTAGGACTAACCCTTTATTTTTTCCTTCAAAAAATGGCATCATAGAATGCCAGAACTGGGAGAGACCTTAAGGATTTCCTAACCCAACCATTGCCAAACCCATTTGTAGATTACACAAAGACCAGAAAGTCCAAATATCATGCCGGCACCTCCAGGTTGATAGAGACAGGGAGGCTTCAGAGCCCCTACATCCTGCCCCCTAGAGCAGGTATCACCTGCCTCCCATGAGGACCAACTCAGAAAATGCTCCAGCTAGGCAGAACAAGCTGTGCTATGTCTGGAAACCCAGCAGGCAGCTGAATAAAAGGCAGGCTAGCCAGGAGATCTGGACATGTTCTTGCACATTGGCAGAGATCTGGACATGTTCTTGCACATTGGCAGAGGTGCTGTCTCTGTATCAAACTGTTCAGCAAAATGGATCATCTCAAAGCCGCACAGCATCTGTTCCAACAAACAACTGCACAGATGCACCCTGGGCATTCAGCCTCTCTCCACTACAGCATGGCTCCATTCAATGAAGGCTATGACTCATTTCTGCCTAAAGTCTGGCTTTGTTGTATAAATAAACCGTGGCTAGAATCAATGTAAAAAGGTATTGATTGTACTTTTCTTCATTGGTGAGGAAGGTGCTGTAAAGACTCTAGATGGAAGAGAAATCACATCTGGGGATCCAGCTTTGCAAGATCTTAGCTGATATATGTGATGAGTTTGGTCCCCGGCAGATGAGAATACAAGCCACAGGGGATTTAAAAAGGCCACAAATTCTTTGACACTCCTCTCATTGAGAGTTGGTGTCTATGCTCCCTGTCCTTGCATCTGTGTCTACCTTGACCCATAGAATACAGTGGATACAGCAAAAGGAGGTGACCTTGCGCTGGTTTTCAGCCCCAGGCCTTGAGACATGGGGATTTTCCACTTTCTGTCTCTTGGAACACTTGCTCTTGGAGCCATGAATCGCTATGAGAGATGTCCAACTACCATGCTGGAGACACGGCATGGAGAGGCCTTGACTACCTGGAGAGGGAGTGAGGCCTAGCCGAGTCTACCTTTCCAGGCATCCCCTCCCTTCCAGCCATCCCTGCCACGGGGCCAGGCATGTGGAAGAAGTCATCATAGGCCCTGCAGCCCAGCCCTGCCACCAGCAGAATAACAATGAGAGGCTCCGGTCATCAACACGTGTACCAGAAGAACTGGCTGGCTGAGCCCGGCCCAAATCCCTGACCCACAAACTTGTGAGATAAAATAAAATGTTAAATTGTTAAGTGTAATGCAGCAACAGACATGCATAACACAAGCACCTGGGCCCTGAGCTTCAGGTTTGTTTTCTCAGGAAGGCCAGAGCCTCTGTGTGTGTGTGTGTGTGTGTGTGTGTGTGTACATGTGTGCATGGCTAAGGTCATGTTCATAAATGCTCCTATGGTCAATCAGTTTCAATTTTTTCTGCTTCTGCCTCAGTTCCTAGTCCTGGTCACACTCTTCTTATCACACATTACACTGATGACAACTTCAGGGTTTGCCTATAATTCACTGTCTTTGTCTTTTCATGCTTCCTCTGGTCCATACACACACACGTGTGCACGGTCACATCTCACACAGGTTGCCTGATCGATCCCATGCTCCCACCCTCCTCTGATAGATCAGGGTGTGCACACCCACACTCTTCTCAGGACTCAGGACTCAGTCCCCGAATCCCAGTACATTTCAACCCTCCCCCAGTGAAAGCATGCTGAGCTGTACCTGTCTGGTTTGCAGCTCTGGCATCTGACAAGCGTTGTCAGTGTAATTAAAGCTCGGGCTGCAGGGCTTGCACTCACCAGGCGGTTTGCAAGGGAGATGGTTCCTGCCGTCACTTGTGCTTCTTGCTGACATTTGACTTTGTCTGCCGTTGCTCTCTCAAACTTGGCTGTGAGCCTTGCCAGGTTTTCATTAAGGTGCTGTTTAGAAAGGAATGCAAGGTCTGTCAGCAATTCCAGCCCAAGTCACCTCCAGAGCTTCTAAGATGAGGATGCATGTGGAGGTGATCTTGAAGGAAGTACTCTGGAAGGAAGCCCTAAGGGTCTGGAGAAAGTAGGGCAGGAAAGGAACGGAAGCCAGATAAGGTGAGATCTCAGGTGGAGGCCTAGGGGAGAGTTCAGCTTGATCTGCACAGGGAGTGTGGAGTGGAAGTTCAGAGGTGTCCTGCCCCACCCAAGGCCAGAGAGCTGAGCTTCCATACTCCAGCACCTCAGGCATTGGTTAAAGGATACAAGGCATGATGGACATGTGGTGATGGGGGGGAGGTGGGGAGGGGAGAGAAGAGGTGCATAAATTCTACCTTTCCTTGTGTTGGAAAATGGTGGGTTCCAGTAGCCTCCACAAAATGATGCAGGTGCTGCTATGAGAAGCAAAAGCACATCGGAGCCGGGGGAAAAAGGATCTGAGGGTGTACTGGGAGGGACCACTGACTGTATCTGCTGCAGCTGGGCTTGGCTGGGCTGTCTAGAAACTAAGTCCTCCCCTGGCTCTGAGGTAGGAATACAAAATAACTTTTACTTACTCCTCTATTTTCTCCCATTATCATGAAGTATGGAAATATTTCTTAAAAATACATAGTCTCATTTTTTTTTTCTAAATTTATGAAGAATTTAGAATTAAAGGCCATAACTTTTGTTGTCCTCAGAGTGCATATTTTCATGCACAAAGACATGGACATACAGAAGTTACGTACAAATACATCTCATGTCTGTGCAGTAACTGGGGTTCATGCTGCTTTGTGGGCCATTACTGAGGTACGAGAGAAATAAATTTAGGGCCAAGTTTATGCAGCCAAGCAGTTTAAAAAGCAGGTAGTGAGGCATCCAATTAATGATGGCAGACTGGCCATCCTCTTCTTCCCAAACCTTCTCTAAAATTATTACAAAACAATTTAAAAAGCCATAGGCCTGTAACACCAAGCAAATTGGTGAAGGCCATTTGGAGGGTGAAGGATTCCAATAGATCTGTGGAGGACCACAGTGAGGGCAGTGGAGATTGTGGGAGGAGGCAGAGGAAGCTGCAGCTTAGAGCTGGCCACAGTTCACCGAAGGGGGAGCTCATCGACCTGTAGAGCCTCATGTAAACTGGAGACTTTGGAAATGTCAGGTGTGATTGACAGGGAAACTGAAAATAAGAGGGTTAATTGGAAGCCTATTGATCTCCCACTTCATATTTCCATTCACATACCCAGGTATGCAATGCCACTAGGCATCTAAGTCACCAGGCAAGAGGTCAATAGTGGCAGAGAGAAGGCACCACATTCTGGCATTTAGGATTCACCCAACAGCTCACTTGATCTTGAAAACAAATTCCATCAGTTAACCAGGTCTGCCCTTGCCTGCAGAGCTTTAATCAGCTTTTGATCACTGCTCTTGTACACATGAAAGGACAAGAAGACATTTAATGAAAACCGAGATTAAGGTAAACAAGAAGAAAAAGGTAACCTGGGAAAAAGAGAGATTATGTCAATAACAGCAACAACAAAGTTAAAACCCTTCACAATTAGTTTCTCAGAGACATTCAAGGTGTTTCGTCCGTGAAACAAGAACAGGATGCTATGAAAAGGAAGAGAGAACAAAAAATATTCTGGCAGAAATTATCATTATTGTTAAAGAAAAAGATAATAAATTCAAGGGAAGTGTTAAAAGACGAATTTAAAGAAATCTAGAAAGTATAAGAAAACACACAGTAACAAAAAGATGAAAGAAAACAGTGGACCAACCCAGGGGGTCCAATATCCAACCAATATGCATTCCAGAAAATAAGATTAAATAGAAAACAGAAGGGAGATTATAAAAGAAATAATACAAAATAATTTTCCAGAGCTAAAGAAAATGTCTCTACATGCCAAGAAAAATGAATAAAAAAAGAATAACAGTTAAGCACATCAATGTAGAGTTTCAGACACCAATTAAAAAAAAGGTTGAAAGACTTCCAGAAAGGAGGAAAAACAGTACATCCACAAAGAAATGGTACTCTGACTGTTTATGAGACTTCTTACCAGACAAGAGCACAAAGAAACAACAGTTCTGAGGGAAAAAAATAGTAACTCAGAATTCAATACTCAGCAAAATTGTTAGTTCAGTTTAAGAATAAAAGAAGGACATTTCCAGACTAACTATTCAGAAATGTTATCTCTCACTTAACATTTCTGAGAAAGTATTTGAGAAAGAGCCATAGCAAAACAAAAGAAGAAAACAAGAAAGGAGAAAGCATGGGGCACAGAAGTCACTGGAACTGACTCAAGAAAGCAGTGACACTTGTTTATTCTCCAACACCGTTTGAGCTCTTAACAATGACAAGGGAGAAAGGTTTGGGGCAAAAGAGGACCTGATAGAAGACTGGATTAGATGAAAAGTTTAAAAATAATGGAGGCTCTGCAAAAGGAACCAATGGAAGAGAGAGAGAGAGAAAAAGGAAGGTAGAAATTTCAGGGGGAAAAAGAGGTTGTATAAAGAAAGGAAACGTAATTATAATGTACCTCTTAGATCTGCTGTGAACAGTATAGACACGATTCCAGAATATAAGTGGAATTTGTTCATTTTTTCAACTTTGCAAATCTGTTTATGGACAGAACCTGGGACACTTATTTTGGTTACAGAAAAGAATGTAGATGCTTTCAGTCTTGGTGATTACAAAGCAAAAGTACACTTGAACTTAGCCAAAAGGCCGTGAAGAGATTACGAAGCAAGAGTGACAACAAGTAGGAATAACAGAAGTTGGGAGGTGTAAGGGAGGGTGAAGAGCAGAAGGCAGGATAATAAATAGCTTCATCTTGAAAGCTTAGTGCTCCAGGAAGCTGCCTCTAGGTGAAAGAACAAGAAATAAAGGTTATGCCAACTAAAACTATTTTCCACAACCCTCCTGGCAAGACATGGGATGAACAACTTGTAGCCTCACCGAGCCAGCAAAAGGTAAACTGCCTGCACAAGCTACACGAAGAGCTAGAGACATCAGCATAGCACATGGACAGAAGTCAGAAATTCACATGCACAGAGAGTGGAAAGATAATGGAAACTAGTCAGATTAGTCTAGTGTTGAAAAAAATAGGATGCTGGCGAGGAGGCAGAGAAAAATGAGCTCATAAACATTGTTGGTGGGATTGTAAATCAGTACAGCCATTATGGAAAACAGTCTACAGATAGTCTACAAACAGTCTATCAAACA